AAGAAATAATTTGTATGGACATTAATAGATTAGAACATACACTGAGTATCTACCCAACACCAATAGATGGCGCTGACGAAAGTGTTTGCTAGTGCTGCCAAATTTACAGAAAATCCTCATTTGAATGAGCAATGATACAGACATAATTCAAATGGATATTAATAGTTTAGTAGTAGATTCTCTATCTTATAGTTCACAGTATATTTGACAGCGTAGCAACATTACAAGAAAATAACTGTTTTCATGGATTCACTATGAGTGAATCGATGGGTCGGTTACTCTCTTCAAGAGTTATCGTGCGCACCAGACACATGGTGCAAAGAAACATGGAAAACATACATCGATGAGGCACATTTTTCCCGTAGCAAAGTGTATACATTCTCATTAACCCTGCGGCTGAGGGTATAAAATCGCTGCAATTTAATAGTGCCCAGCAAAAATTTGGTAATCACATATCATTATTTCCTGCATTATAAAATAATGACAACTCATTACTATCTGGATTACCAAGAAGTTAGTATGTAATAGATTACAAATAATGACCATTATAATATCATATAGTACCACATATTTTCAGTCGCAATAATTTAAAAAAAAAATCTATGAATGTTATAAACATTTATATTCATGTAGTCACATTTTCTACAACAATTCCTGTTTTTAATTTACATGCAAAGAAGAAACGAAAGAAATCTAAAAATATTTAGTTACAATTGTTGTTGCTGTTGATATCATAGTTACAGCGCCGACGCTACCATTTTGGCGGCGTTGTTCGATGATAGCAAAAGATTCGTAGTTTTGAACACAATAAAAGCGTTCGAAAATTTAAAAGGCTGTAACGTTGATGACAGACGATATTATTATTCCTCAATTTTTAACAAACGCCGTTTTTTATATTATTGTGTGGGCACAGATTTTCATTTCAATAAAAGTTTTAAAAGTGCATCGAGTGTTCAAATTTGTAATTTGTGTATACAAATAAAAAGTTAGTTTAAAAATGATAAGTAAAAGGCAACACCGACGAAATATCAAGAAAGAGAGAGGGGAATTGTTGAAGCGTTTCAAAATGATAGAACATAATATTTTGTCAGAAGAAACATCATCAATAATTTCTGCTTCGCTGTCTGAACATGACCAAGCGCTGTCCAATGTAGGAGAACATGAAAATGCACAAATGGATTTGTCAGAAAAGCTTGCAGTTTGGTTTACAGATCACAAGCCAACTGTTGAATGCACACAATCGCTTTTAAGAATATTAAAATCGGAAAGTCTAGATGTGCCACTTTCTGTTCGAGCCCTTATAGGAGCAAAAAATGCATGCCAGAGGAGAACGGTTTCTCCAGGGGAATATGTACATGTGGGGATTCAAAATCATTTACAAAAAATGATTCCATAATTTGTGCAGAAACAGATATGTTAATAATAGACGTTGGTATTGATGGATTGTCTCTCTTCAAGAGCTCCCCGATTGAAGTATGGCCAATATTAGGCCGGGTGCAAAATATTCCTAATAGTGGAGTTTTTTTAATTGGAGCCTACGTTGGACCAAAAAAACCATACAATATTAATTCTTATTTACATGATTTTGTTACCGAAATGTCTGAAATCATGTTAATGGGCATTACAGTTAATGGAAAGAAAATTCGTGTACATTTGCGGGCATTTATTTGTGACGCACCTGCTAAAGCATTTGTATGTGGTATTAAGGGCCACACTTCTTTCAATGGATGTACAAAGTGTCAACAAATTGGTAAACGGATTGACAACGTCAACACTTATTCAATATTTCCTGGAGACAGTAGAACTGATATAGGATTCCTGTCAAGGAATTATACAAATTATCATCTTCCCTTACATAGTGACACTGAGATGAAACTGGAGACTATGAGGGTACAAATGGTTTCACAATTCCCTGTAGATTGCATGCATGCTGTTGATCTGGGAGTTACTAAAAAGATGCTTACACGAATTTACGAACGAAAGACAGTAGTTCCAGTTTCTTCCTCTTCGAGTTCATCAATATCAGAAATGCTTCATTCCATGTGCCGATTCATACCAAGGGAATTTGCAAGAAAGCCAAGGATGCTTCTCGAACTACCAAGATGGAAAGCGACAGAATTTCGTCAGTTTCTTTTCTACACAGGCGTTGTTGCATTAAAAAATAATATACCAAGTGAATTGTACGAACATTTCCTCTTGCTACATTGTTCTTATAGAACAATTTTATCACCTTCAAATGAACAGCAATTGGAAAAAAATCAACACATAATACAAGAATTTGTACAAACATTCCCTATTCTGTATGGAAGATCAAGCGTTTCCTACAACGTACATAATCTTTTGCATCTTTCAGATTGTGTTCGGCAATTTGGACCACTGTGTGACTTTTCGGCCTACACATTCGAAAACTTTATGCAACGTGTTAAAGCTGCAATCAGATCCCCAAAACATATTTGTCAGCAAATTTTTAATTCATTTGAAAATTTCCCCATAAAAATAAAAGGGCCGCAACTAGGACTTATATATAAGAAAGGCAAAGTTAAATCCGTGCAGACAACCAAAGGGTATTTCAGTACTAAATGCCCTGATAATACGTGTTTGGTAAATGGAGCGACATTTTTGACCATAACAGAAATTATTGATGAATTTAAATTTAAAGCAAAATCATTTCAAGTATTGCACAATTTTTATAACTCTCCAATTGATTCACTCGATATTGATGTTGCCTTGGTTGAGCCGATTTATTGCGAAGAACAAATCTATGCTTTAGAAGATATTAAATGTAAAGTGGTAAAATTACCATATCAGAACAACTACGTTTTAATTCCAGAAATACACTCCTTTTGTTAAAAAAAAAAACATGTTCAAAAAGCAAAAAATATCTACACACCACCTCAGTATGGACATAAGCAACGAAATGCGTGACATTAAAGGTAAGTACTTGCGGAATTTGTCAATCAGTAATAATACAAGACTTTTGCCCAATTTCAGACTTAATAATACAAAAACAAAAAGACGACGATGAAAGATACAAAAAACTAGTGGGTAAATATTAATTTGTTATTTGAATTACTTAAAAAATATCTCATATATTTCAATAATTTATTTTAATAGATATAATCGAACACCAAAATATGGTAATAAGCAACATACTAGGCGAACAGAATGCTCTTTTAAAATCCATGGTTAAAAAATCTAATGCTGACATGTCAAAATTCGTTAACAAATTTCCCATTACATCTGACGAAGGCTTAAAAGAAATTGAAAATTCAATAAACGAAGAAAATGAAGATGAACTAGTGTGTATTAAGATTTTTTTATCATAAATAATTTAAGCACATATCATATTTATTTTTCAGATCGCGGTTATTAAATTTTTACTAGGTTCAAAGGGACTGATAAAAGGGCTTACTTCAATTATAAGCCAAAATTTATTAATAGAATATAATTACATAGGAATACACAACAAGAAACCCCTACGAGATTTTAAAAAGTTTATGGCCGTTTTAAATCGTAAGTATTACAAGTATATATACAAGTTTAAATATGTATATAACTAATGTAGTCTATTTTTCTTTTAGGCGCAACAAGTGAAGGAGGCGATTTTCAAAGGAATATAAGAATAGCCATTCGAAATGCCAAAAATCGGCACTTTAAGGATGCAAGTGTCCAAAAGAAAAAAAAATAATATATAACCAACTAAATTTTATAATATATATCTTCACACCATATGGTTTTCAAATGTTTAAATTCCATTCATTCTTAATGTAAAGTGAATTATCCTTATTTATTTTTATCCTAGTATTTTGTGTTTGTTTTTTCACACCACATTTTCAAAATGTTTAAATTCCATTTTAATTTATGTTATTTGCTTCTCAATGAAAACAAATTATCCTTATTTATATCATAGTATTTTTTGAAATCGCAATGTTTTAAAGGCTGAAAATGTACAAATAAGTGTATTTAAAAATCTATATAATTAACATATTCATGTATGCTTCAAGCTTATGTAATTTAATACACAAAAGAGGCTAATTTTATTTACGATATTAATATAAATATATTGTGAACTCGTAGAGAATTAATCACTATATAAAAAAAATCTTTTGACTACCCATAAACTTAAAATGTATAAATTGAATTTTCATAACATAAAATAAAAATAATTAATTTTTTTTACCAACTTATATCACGGGTTACCTGAGATAAATAAATAAGTGGTTATTCTGGAGACGTTAGTATGGTGGGTCATAAGTACATATTTTTATTTGAAAAATATGTACTTAAATACGAAATATCAGTAAGTATTTTTTAAGTGCTTCCCCAGAACTAGTTATTAATGAACTTTTCATTTCTTCGAAATAAATAGTTAAATATGTGCTTAAAGAATCTCTTTATGTAAGTACTTCCTTCCTAGGTAAAAATAATGGGTGTGTAGGCAGATTGGTAAGTAGTTACTGCCAAAAATTGCCAAAAATTGATATAATCAGAATAATCAAAATAAAAACAAAATAAACATATATATATATTATTGTTTACTATATATTCATATATTTGTGTGATTCTTTTAGAAAGAAAAAACTAAAGACATTTTTTTAACACTACACAATTTATTGTCGAAGTCATTCTACAATATATATATTTAAATATATATATATATATTCGCTTTCGTTTCCCGTTCCTCTATATATAGTAATTTGTTCGAGACATTACATCTGGAATTCATTAACAATGCATTAGAATAATAAAATGGAACGGATGGCTTAGGCTGCGCTCAATAAAGACATGTTGTAGGACAAATTGTCTATTTAATATTCAAATGTTGTTCTAGTGGGATACGAAAAAGAATATACAATGCAAATGGGGAAAATGCTTAAAATTAAATTTATACAAAAAAAAAAATCACAACTACGAGGTTTGCTCAAAAATGAATTGCGGATTTATTTTTAAAAATACAATTGTACGCTATTTTATTTTTTTGTTTAAGGTTTTCATAGACCATGGCCCCGAATACAGAAAGTCGCATAACCGGTGTCTTGGATGAAAATGATACCGATACCATCGATGGAGGCTTGGCCAAAGATATAACACCATTGAAAGGGGCCGAGAAACGAAAAGTCGAATTGGTCTGGTTCAATATAATCGTATTTGTGTATCTAGCGTGTAGTGCCTTCTATGGGGCATATCTTTTTTTTGCAAGAGCTTATAAATGGCAAACTTATATATGGTGTAAGTATATAATCGGAATAATTGTTTTTTTTTTTGTATTTTTATAATATTTACATTCTCTATTGCAGTCTTATTCACCCTGTACATGACAGCATTTGGCATTACGGTGGGTGCGCACCGTTTGTGGTCACATCGTTCGTATAAGGCTAAATTACCGCTGCGTTTAATATTGCTCTTCTTCTCGACAATGGCTTTTCAAAATTCCATCTATGAATGGTCACGCGATCATCGGGTCCATCATAAATTCACCGAAACCGATGCTGATCCGCATAATGCTATGCGTGGTTTCTTTTTCTCGCATGTCGGCTGGTTGCTGTGCAAAAAACATCCCGACGTTAAGACAAAGGGCAAGACAATTGATATGTCCGATTTGGAAGCTGATCCGATGCTAATGTGGCAGCATAAGTAAGTTGACCCATATTTATTTCTGATTTTTTTTTAAAGAATATTAAGAAAGAAGGCTTACCAAAGGCGTGGATTTTTTAAGACTAATTATTCAAGAGTCATACAAGGCGTGGATTTTTTAAAGAGTAGTCTTTCAAGGCTTTCCAAAGGAGTGGATTTTTTAAAGAGTAGTTTTTCAAGGCTTTCCAAAGGAGTTTTTTAAAGACTAATTTTTCAAGGCTTACCAAAGCAAATAAATAATTTTCAAGGCTTACCAAAATTTTTTCAAGGCTTACCAAAGGCGTGGATTTTTTAAAGACTAATTTTTCAAGGCTTACCAAAGGCGTGGACTTTTTCAAGGCTTACCAAAG